CCACTCTAGTCCTCTGTGGCTATGTCACTGACTCTGGGCCCAAGAGTCCCCAGGTCTTGCCACACTGCTGGCCAACCAGGTCTTGACCTGGGTTCCACCACTCCCTCTTGTCCTACACCCAGTCTACCTCCCTGGCCCCAGAAGACCCCTGGTTTAAGTCTCCAGTTACTGCCTGGTCCTTTGTCCTCTCCGTGCCTGCCAGGTGACCCAGGCAAACTGTCAATTCCTACCACAGAACCCCGGGAATTACAAAATGGATCCACACCAGCTCTTTCCACCCCCCAATCAGCAAACTCAAAGTAGGCTCCTGAGCTGACCTCCCAAACTCTGGCTCCACCTCAGACCAGCTGTGTGTTTTTAGACAAGCTCATCCTCTTTTGGAGCCCTTGTTTCCTCGGGGTCAAATGGTTTGGAGAATTCCTGTCCACCTCCCAAGCATGTTATGAGATGGAGACAATGGCATCTCCCAGGGCCTCAACAGAGGTGGGGAGCTTTAGTCCTATGTCCCTTTAAAATCCCCTCTCAAGGCTGAAAAGAGAAACCTCAAGCATGTCAGCTGGAACAGACTATAACCACAGAACTCCAAGATGGTCTGGATGCAGGTTTTATTATCATTAGTGTGATCATTGTTGACAAGGGGAAGTTTTTAAAGGGTTGTGTACAAGCCGTGACTTCCAGGGCGACATTAAAATATTCCTATTTGCACCATCTATTCCCACAACTACCACGCAGCTCAGCACCACAGGCACCTCTACCTAAAATGCTCCCCCAAGCAGAACACAGATGTGGCTCAGGGCTGGCCATCCCATCCAAGGATGCCCACCTACAGAAGGCTCTTGGTCCTGGGGCGAAGTTTACATAGGATTAGATTAATCTTCTATGTGGGACTGGGCATGACAGCTGAATTGGGGCATCTCATCTCACTGGCTACTTTTCCCAGAGGCATCCTACCCTACTTTAGGGGTCCTTGAGAAGACAGAAAGGCCAAGGCTGAGGAAGGGGATCAGGCCTGCCACGTTCGGGATATGGGGCAGAGAGCTAAGAGGTCTGCCCTCTTGTCAGTGGTATGGAGTAATGTGGAATTTTAACTTGTATGCTGGCTTTTTAATGTCTCTGATGGAGGGGGAGAGCCTGGTTTGAACATAAAGAGGTCAGGACCTGCGGGGAGGCATACTCAAAGGGCTTATGTCTAAAGAGGGGAAAAAGATGGGGTCCTTAAAGAGTAGGACATACAGAGTTTAGGGCATTCTGAGACCCCAAATTTGGTTTTATAAGGAACTGGGCTTACTCCTCTAGGGGCTCCCTGCCCCCAGTTGCCCGCCGCCCAGGGTGTTGCCTCTTCTTCTCAGCTCGCTGGCTCCTGCTCAGGTCACTCAGAATCCCAAACAGGATGGCTGCTTGGTCACAGGCTACTCCCACCCCACAAGGGCCTCCCAAGGCCCTCCTGCCTGGATGCTGACGTTTTTCAGGCAGCATCAGCTCCCCCTCATCCTCCCAGCTCCTTGGAGCCTTGGGATCCACCAGCCGTCTACCCGGGTGTTGCCTCTTGGTGACAGTGTACCCAAGCCAGGAGGAACGCCGACCAGGGTGCTGCCGTTTTTGGGTCTCCCCTTCTTTCTCCTCCTCCTCTTCAGCTCTCTCTTCTGCTTCTTCATCCCTTTTACCTGGATGCTGACGCTTGGAAAGCCAGTCAAGTTGAAGTGTCTGGGGCTCTAGGGAAAGGGAAGAGGCCAATGAAAGATCTTCTGACCCCTGTAACAGGTGGTTCTGCGTGAGTGCCTTCCCCCCAGAGACAACAGACACCCTGGGCACCTGCCTTTCAAGACTCACAGATGGACACAGAGTCCAACCCCAGCTCTGCCACTTTCTAGCTGAGCATCATAATAAATAAATGAGATCAATAATAGTAGCTATCTCAGAGGCTGTTAGGAAGATAAAGTAGTGTGATAAGGTGTTTGAAGTGCCTAGAACAATGCTTGCCATATACCTAATTGTTGTTGTTAAGTGCTGTTTGACTCATAGTGACCCTGTATAGGGTTTCTGGGGAGGGAAGGATGAGTTTGAACTGCTGACCTTTTGGTTTAGCTGAACTTGGGGTTCAGTGTTTATCCAACAGCTACATCAGGACTCCCAAATACCTAATAAGTAGTTATTAAAACTGTCACACACAAATAAACTCTCTTGCACACAAAATCTTTCCCACTAAATTTCTGTTCTGTGGGAAACATTCCCAACCCTGAGACCAAGGAAGAACCATCCCACCCGCAGGGAATGGGGAACTCAGGTCCTTGATAAGTATGTTCTGGGCTTATGCCGGGTAAGAGGCTGGAGAAGCCGCTCTCCGTCTCTGCCCTGTCCTCTGCGTCCAGCTTTCCTCCAGTTTAAACTGACTTTCCCAGTGACCTAGTCTGCCCGCAGCAGACGACCCCACCTCACCTGCGTCGCGCTCGCCTTGATCTGTTCTCAGTCCCTGGAGGTCTTCCCGGAGGAGGCGCTCGGCCTGGCGCAGGAGGTCGTCCAGGCCTGAGCGCTCAGTCACGGTGGCAGCCTCCTGCTGGGTCACGTCGGGCTGGGCACGGCCGCCATGGACAACCATCAGGGTCAAAGTCAAGGTGAGCAATAGCCAAGGGCTCAGCATCACGGCTTCTGGGATCTGAGACAGAAGCAGACAGAGTATGAGCGCACCATGCCCCTGCCCAACCTGCTCCATCTCCCCCTTTATTCTCTGTGTTGCTCTCCAGGGGAGCAGGACCACCATCTACCACCTTAGAGCATGGCAGGGGTGCAGGTAGGATCCGAGCTGGGCTCCGGGTCCACATCTGTAACCTCTAGGTGTCCGTGCCCATAGTGGTGTCTGGGAGTTACTTGGCGGGGTGAGCAGGAGGCCTTGGGAACCCAAGCACCTAGGGAGGCCAGTGCTGGCGCACATTCGCTAAGCGTGTCGCCATCAAGATTTCATAGCCGGGTTTCGACGGCCGGGATGCTCCTGGCTGTATCGCAGACTAAGATTCCCTCCAAGGTTCCCATCGCAACATTCTGACGCTCTGCTCGGTTGCCAGCGCTCTAATTCTACTTAACAACATTCTAATTCTAAAGCTAAGATTCTATTTCTAGCGCTCAGATTCAGGTTCTAAAGACAAAATTCTTTCCGCAGCCCTAAGATTCGATCTCTAATGTTAACATTCTGCGACCACCTGTAGGAATAGAATTCTAACGCTAAAAAGCTTCCTTTCAACACTAAGATTCGAATTTTTGCCCTAAGAGTTCATTATCTAATGCAATGACTAAGATAGCAACGCGAAAATTCTCTTTCCAAATTCCAGTTTCCAGGCTGCCCAGCACTGCTTGGAACTTCTTGTGCGGATCTAGGGCGGAGGTCCAGGAGGGGCTCTAGGTGACCCTCCCGGACTCTGGGCGCCCAGTGAGTGGGCAGGAACCTGTCCTGTCCCGGACCCCGGTTGCCACCTGGGAGCCCCCAGTCGAGTCCGAGCGCAGCTCTCCCCCTTGTGAGGAGACCCACACCGGTAACGAAGAAGTCAGTTGTCTCCGAGCCCACCTGGCTCCCTGGGGGAGGGGGGCGCTCCTCTCCGGAACAAAGGGGCGAGCGAGCGGAGAGGACTCCCTTATCAGTACTCTGGGACGCCGTCTGTGGGAGCAGGGGAGCGGAACAGACGGAGGTGGTTACCTGCTCTGTTGGGGACGGTCGGAGGAACCTGGGTTCCGGATCCCGAGACCGGAGTTTCGAGATCCGCAAGTCGAGAGTCCGGAAGAGCTCGCTAGACTCGGGGCGCCGCTGCCGGCTCCTTATACCTGCGCGCGAAGAGGGCGCTGACGGCAGTCAGCCCCCGTAGGGACAGCCTGCTAGTCCACTTCCCCGGAAATCTGGGGCGG